TGTACCGGAGAGACCGTATCGGTCACGTGGGCCAACACGTGCCATTTCGTCAGACACTCATGCATAGTAAGCCACGTACAAGCATCACCATCAACGTCGGCTCGGCATGAGGTCGAGAACCGACATCAGTCTGGTTAACGCCAATATGGACCATCATCACTCATCGAGTCGGCTCGGTCAAGTACCGTTCCGACATAGATCGTACCGGAAAGTATACAAGCTGCCGTATACGGACTAGACGGCTCGGTCATTTGCCGTTCCGACTAGTATTGAATAGTCGGCTCGGCCTCTTGCCGAAGAGTTAAACAAGTCATAACGGTAATCACAATTAAGAAAGGTAAGTACATGATTAAAGCCTAACAACCAATTAGTACCGTATTACCTAATTTGGTAAATATCTGAGAGGGCCCATCACGCTCAGGCCCATGTCAGATGCTATAAATAGGTCACACACAACAAGGTATGTCACTGTTCATTCATTACCCTAGAAAATCGTGCCCACACTGACTTAAGCATCGGAGTATCTTTTGCAGGTACCTCCCCCTCCGAAGAATCCACCTAAAGCTCTCGTTCGGTCCTCATATTCCCCTGAAGATTACGAGTGTACCCTCAGGCAGGTACAAGTAATAATTTATAATTTTTTAATCTAAATAAACCTAGGTGATTTTATAATATTGCTAAACCTGAGTTGCTGAGTTGTTGTAAGAGTATCGAAATCTTTTACGAGAAAAGAATCTGATTATATTACTAATTACAAATTTTGTGAAAGTTGTGAGTTTCCAATTACTAAGTTTTGCATCAAAAAGCCATGCTTCTCTGGAAAAATCTTATTTCAGGGTCTACATTAACATTATTAAGAGTGTTTTGCAGATACCATGATTTAATTGGTAACAGTACTGGTGACATAAATTTTGGGACTAAAATGTTCTGTCTTTTTATCTTAATAATTACGTTGCAAATTCCTTTGTTAATATCTGCAATCATCGTTCTTTGTTAAAAAATTGAATCACTCCTACTTTATAAATAACCCTCATGATTAATTTATATTTTCCGCAAAGTAAATAAATAAAAAATTATAATCAGAACTCCTCTGTCTTTAACTGCTAAACCCCCACTTGTGAAAATATATTTCTAACAACACTCTGTCATTTGAGCAAAACACACAAAAGTTACATGGTATTGGGTACACCCCTTAGAAGTAAAAATACAAGAACAAAAATGACCCCAACAACTAATCTGGGAAAATTCCTGTGGGTATGCAGTAAGCAACAAAATGTGAAGATGATGATAAATTGATAAAGCTTGGCCTAGACAGGTACCCTTGTGCTGTGTATCCTGTAATGATGAATCAGTTGGTTGATTGTATCTGAAATTGCAAGTCCAACCAAATTATAGAGCTCTTGATAACAGCAATAAGCCGTCAAAGCAAAAACAGCACCCCATGGAATGAAAGTGATAGTTAGGCAATCAAGGAGTGAAAGAGAAGATATAATGGTCATAACCAAAACTGAAAAAACGCTTGCAATCACAATCATGATGAGGAGCAAGACTAGTTGCAAGATCCCCCTATGCTGTGGAAGGATTGTTCCAAGCAGCCAGAGTGAGAAGTACAACACAATCATCAAAACCATAACCATCATCACATTGGGGTGTGCTATGAACAATGCTTCTCCCGTAGCTGTGGACTTGAAGGAAATCACACCAAACAATGCCTTGAAGAGTTTGTCAAATATATCTTGTGTCTCCCTGAAGCATTTGTCCAAAATCTCCCTGTGGCATCAAAGAAAAACGTTACAACACAAGAGAAATGCAGAAGGTGAAATATGATGATAAAAAAACTGACCTCGTTGGAGTTGGATTTCTGGAACTAGAATTCACAGCATTCATGTGTGCCATCCTTTATCTACTCCTCTCAACAAGAAAATGTGATGGGTTTGATTAAACAAGAAGAGATTATATAGACATGGGGTGTGTGTTGTGATAGCGATCACTTTCTTTTCCTTTGAGAACTTTGATATGAGAGTCACATAGGAAAGCTTTTAAAAATTTGAAATTGCGTGTGAAAACTATAGGTGGTGCACCATTTGGCGTACTAAATAATAGAACGTATTAAACGTATAATACGTAGGGAAGTTTAAGTGGGGTCCACTTTATCTGTTGAAATAAAGAATGTGAAAAAAGAAGTAAGAGAAATATGTTAGCAAAGGTCCAACTGATGGCATGGCACGTGCCTTTTACCCGTATTATACTTGGAACGTATAAAACGCGCCAAGAAATACAACAAGGTTGTGTTAATGGGAACTTTCATTGACCTATATACATTTGAACTAAATTAATATTTTTAATAGTCATACATCAACTAGATTCTAACTGTTGCAACTTTTATTACGATAATTTGTTGGCATGTGATCTTCAATTCGTACAAATGAACTACAAAATCAAACAATTGTGGGGATAGACTAAGAAATTAGAGGAAATATAATTATTTCGTAGAGAGCATGTAGGAAAGAAGAAAAAAAATTGAAAGAGTAAAGCCTCAATTTGGTAAGCGGCATTGATTTACTTCAACAATTAAAAAAAAAAAAAATCGTCGCTCACATTGGCCTTTTGATTAAAATTTGTCTATTATTAATTAATTTTAATGGAACATAATATGTGATGTGTTAATTGTTTATATGACACTTTAAGTGTAGCTTAATTGTAAGACGTTCAATTAAAATTAACAATTCACATGATAATTTTTTTTTGGATACTTTTTTGAAGAAATTTCCTTCAAATTTTAATCCCCAGAAAAGTCCACAAGTCCACTTGTAATAGAAGAAATTTTAATAGTGATTTATTTATTAATCGTTGTCTTTGTGTATGTATTACTTTTTTTTTTTTTTTTTTTTATTTCTTTTTTTTTTTTTTTTTTTTTACTGTGGTTTAGGTGAACATGCAATGCTATTACATAATTTATATTGAGTGAAGCTCTACTTAGCCATCGTAAATGTTTTCAAAGAAGTGAATAATAAAAATAAAAAAATCTGGTTTTGCCAGTTATATTATGTATTTGGTATTGATTTAGTATGATGCTTCTATTTGGTATTAATTGAAGAAAGAAAAATCCCGACACACTTTATAACGTATTTTTTTTAATACTTTTTTTTAGTATTAACTAAAATTTATTAAAAATTATAAATTTTTATCAATCTCACATCTTATTTAATAAATTTAATTTTGCAATTAATTTATTTCTTAATCATACAGTTTTTTTTTTAAATTTTTTTAACCAATAATAAATATTTAAAAGAAATATGTTATTAACCATGAAAATAAGAAAAATTTTAAGATTTCAAATAAAAAAAGTTTCGATGTAAAAGTACCACTAAAATTAATCTAATAGTTGGAAAGAAAAGGGATGAGATAAAAGCAAGAAAATGTAAGTTTATTTTCTCATCCCGTTTGTGTAATCTTTCCTATGAATTAAAAAATGTTTAATAGGACATTACTCTCTTTGGACTTATATATAATAAAAAGAGAGGTCAATTTTACACAAATAAAAAAAATAGTGTAAAGCATTTAATTTTCATGATTACATATAAAATATATACCACATTTAATTACTAAATTTTATCAGCTTCTAAACATTTATTGACATGGCAGTTTATTGATTTTTGTTGTCATTACCATTTTTTTATATCATGGTATTAACAAAAGTATTTACCAATGTTATAATTCATTATAATCTCTACACTTAACGACTTAACTACTAGTTGCGAAAAAGAAAAAAAAAACTACCTAAAGATCATATTATAGCTCATGAAAAACACAATGATAATATATAAATATATGCAATAAATTTTTTGCAACAACAACTGATATATTATACAAGTATATATGTATGTATAATAATCCAAAACTATAATATACAAGTCTAGATTGTTGATCAAACAACTCAACAAAATTTATACAAAAGTAGCCTCCAGTTATACCGTCATCCTACAACATGGCTTTCCATACGCCCAACTCCTCAAGCATAAGTATAAAGGAGTAATTCATACAATAAGTATAAAAGTAACACAACTATACTATCCACGACATCATGTAAATCGCACCACTAAGCATCTCATGGTCTACAACATGTCAACACAACAAAACACCTAAACATGGCATCAAACAACTTACAATTATAAACAATTCAACCACATATGACAATTCATACATTTCACCACATCAATGTCATTCAACCAACCATGATCAACAAGCATATGAACAACGCTAATCACATCACATCATATGCACAACACCTCAACTACATATCTCGTCATGCATTTACCTATGAAGATCTTCTACAACCAAGATGAGTAATCTAAGAGGCTTGACCCTACTGAATCAACCAACCTTTTTACGTACACTTGCTAGATCAATAACTAATTGGGATACCAATCCCTACAACATGAGTTCTCGAATGTTGTCACTTAAACTTAAAAAGTCTAGTACCACTGTCAGGTATAACATAGCTTAGCTATGGACCTACCACGATCTTGATATGCATTAACCAAGTTACTTATGGATTCAACCGGCTAACTATTCTCGTGATATCACACACCTTTCCAATAATTAATTTAAAGTTCTAGCCCTCAACTTCATACCTCATTCAAACATTAATTAAGGATCTAAAAAGATTCAGTAATCCACTCCAAGAGACAACACTTACTTAAGGAGGATTTTCAACAATTGAGCTCATAAAGTACCACACCAATATCCATAATATAGGATATTCAACTCTCGAAAATACCTTCTCTTCTAATCCTAAGTTAATCAACATGCCTAAATACCTATAGTATTCTCACCATCAACATCCCAATAAGTCAATGGCCTTTCAACATATCATGTTTAAATGCTTATAGCATTCGTAGCATTAACACCTCAACAAGTCAACAATCTTTCAACATATCATGCCTAAATATCTAAACATTTTCAACATTAACAATCATATACATCTATATATATTATCACAAATCAATATACATAAAACCAACATCACCCATTAGCATGCAACATGCAATAGATTTACTAAATCTATTGATGTTCACCATATCTTTAACGCTTGGTCTACACGGGTAACCTTGTAATTCATGTTTTGAAGTAACAATTAAAGAATTTGTTGATTGTATATGAAATTGCATGGAGAACCAGTTCATAGAGCTATGGGTAATGACAATATGTAGTGACAGCAAAAATTGCAAGCCATAACACAACACTGAACTATGCAACATGTGAAGATATAATGGTTATAACCATAATCGAAGAAACGCTTACAATGAGCAACACGATGAAGACCAAGATTATTTGGAAGATTTGAGCAGGGTGTGGAAGCATGGTTCCTAGAAGGGGTATTAAGAAGTGCAACACAATCATTAAAGCCATAGCAATCATGAAAATGGGGTGTGTTAGGAGCAAATCTTCTCATATAGATGTAGTCTTGAAGGCAATGACAACAAATAGGTTTAGCTGAAGAGCTAAAAGATTTGGCTAAAGCACATAATAGTAGAATATGATATAGGGTGTGTTTAAAAATTAATTGAGTTCAACTTATTAATTGATGTTAAAAAAAATTATATTCACCAATTTTTACTTTTTTCTGTATTAAAATGTGTACTTTTTCGTTCAACGTGATTTTAAACTAATATCTAAACATCTACATGGTAGATATAAGTTATGACCTAATTGAAGTTGGATTTTTTAGAAGCATATTTGTTTTTTGTTAAGAAAATATTATAGTATTTTTTAAAAATTAAATTAAATTTTATTTTTATTATAAAGAAACACAAATTATTTGCTTATTAACATTTCCATTTATTTACATGAGTAGAATTTTTTTTATTTCCATTTTTACTTATTTTCATTTATCTAATTAAACAACCCAATTTGTATCCTATTTATTTATTTATTTTCTATTTCATTATTCCCTTTTATTTCTTTGTTTCCTATTTTATCTCTCATCCTCAGAAAAATAATTAAAAAATAGTAACAAATATGTATACAAAATTAAAATAAAGTATAAAATAAATCAAAATTAAGTAATTAAAAAAATATATTAAATATGTAAATTAGTAAACTTTATCACTCCTACAAATTACAATTATTTCAGTATTTCTCTTTGTACTTATTTTTTACAGGATCTATGTACATTGTTTAGAAACTACATTTCATGATGTTGGAAGAAGAGAAAAAACATAATCAGATAAAAATTTCCGAATGAATGAAAGACACACATGCAAAGCATATAACATGCTTCTCTACTGTGTCCTGCTATTAGAGTCCTCTGCGCTAAATTATTTGGATTTGTATGGCTTACCAAGGAAATGTTTGTCCATCAACTAATACACCAAATTAATGAAAATAATTCATGTGTTAAATACCTCTCCCATCAGTTAAGAATATATGATTGAATCACTTTTATAAAATTAAAAATATTTTTTCGACTCATAATTCCTACATTAATAATACATTTTTATTATACTTTTTTTTTCTTAAAATATCTTTAATATTTTTTATCTTCTAATTTCTCAAATTTATTACGAACCTCACTTCCCCTTTCCTTTAACGTTTAATTTTCTTTCTAAGTATTCTATTCCTTTCACACTCATTCCCTTCTTTCTCTCCGATTAATGTTTAATTATTATTTTTAGCACTCATTCCTTTCGCATGCACTCCAATTTTTCAAGATCTCAAATGTTGAATTTTAAAGATTGATTTTGCAAATAAATAATTGACACATTATATATACACTTCCTTCCTTCATCCTCCTCCTTATTATCCTTTAGTATTGTGAAAAGTAATTTTTAAAAGTATGTAAAAAAATACACTTTTAAAAGTACTTTTTGTAATTATGAAATTTTTTTTTTAATTTTTTTTTCTTCTAAAACACTAAAATTAATACTATGGCAATAGATGAATGTGAAAGGAAGGATGCATGAGAATCTTAAAATTCTATATTTTGTAAGAAAATTGCAATTTTAAAATTTTAGTCAATTTTAAAATCTTAAAAAATGGAGGAAAAGAGTGCGTGTAAAAGAATAAATGGTCGAAAAGAAACTTGACCATTAGAAACAAAGGAACAAAAAGGGGTGTGTGTGAAAACAAATAAAAGGAGTGAATACTTAAAATGAATTGATCATTAAACATAAAAGAATATGAAAAGATGTGTGTAAAAGGAGATAAGTATTTGGATAAAAATAAAAATAAAACCTTAAAAGGAAAGGAAGATACATAAGAAATTTAAAAGAAATATTAAAGATATTTTAGAAAAAAAAAGTATAATAAATATGTATTATTAAAGTAGGGAGGGAGGTGCATATATATCATGAGTGTACTTTCTCCTGAAGAGAAATTTGGGGTCAAGTTACAGTTGGGCCGATACTTTTTATCTACAGCAAATGACTAAGGCCCACTCTCCTCTCTCCACTTATGCTTTCTCAATCTTAAGCACAATAACTTTATATATAACATCAAAAACAATAATCAGAAATTTGTTCAATGAATTCAATTAATTATTGGAAATTTAGATATTAAGATATCTAATTTTACGTTAAAAAAGACAGAAATCACAATGACATTCTTTTTAACACTTTCTTAGTTATACCTTATTATTGATTAAAAATCACAAATTTTAAATTTTTAATAAATCTTACTATTTTATATTGACATGTAAAATTTATAAAAATTGTGATTTTCAGTAAGTGACATCCAATAATAAAAAGAGTAGTATCAAAATGAGTATCACTAGCAAATTTTCTATAAAAAAATACATAAATATGAATAGAAAGAAATGAAGATTTTTTTATCTGCCTCTAATGGTGAAAAGTGATTTTGTTGTGCCTATGGAGCCGCGGAACCCTTGAAAAGCAGAATTGCCAAGTTGCCTATACAGAAATAGATAAAACAGCCACAACAATGGGTCACAAACGAACCAAAATCAGTGCCTACAATGCATTGCCATCCTGCAGGTCCATGAATCCTATCAAATTCCTGCCATAACATCACACAAAAAATAATGTTTATTTCCAAAGAATTAAGAATCAGCTAACAAAAAACTCATCACTTTTCAAAGTTATTTTTACCTTCTTGATAAACCTGGCTATGTCAATGGCCTCAGTGACATCGAAGAAATCCAATGCTTTGGATGCCAAATTAAGGGCATCCTGTTGCATGGTTTGAAGCATGTCGGTCTCCCCAATCACTGCCTTGCCTTCTAGCATGGTGAAATTGAGATGATAAAGATAGTGAAAATCAACCAAATAAGGAGAATAAGGGTGCTTCTAGTAGGTTGTGTAAAGTGGAATAAAGGTAAGGTGAAGGTGGTGGTGGTGGTGATTTAAGGATGAACAGGGCTTGTGCTTGTGATTAATCATCCACGTATGGATTCGTTTCTTTGTGGCCACCAAAAAGATTCCGTGAAAATAGCCCTTATGGTCCAATATGGATCAAGTTTGGTGCTACCATATCCTTGTTGGAACATGGACAAACAATGAAGTGAATGAGAAATATTTGTTTGAGATAATTAAGGATAAGAAATTAGTTACATACAGAAGCTGATTCTAGATAATGTTGTACACGTGTTCTGTATTTGTGGATTTGTCGGTGAGTCTTGTCTATGGTGAGTTGTCTACTTGTGAGTGTGGTGAGTTAGATTTGGGACATCTTTTTTGGGTTGTCTATATGCCATAAAACTCTCTAATTCAGAAGCTTCGAAGATAGCGAATCCAAGTGTTCCCCACAGGAGAGGGAAAATAGACAGAAAGTGTATATAAAAATCTAAGCTCCTACTTTTAACTCATTTTTCTTAAATATATTTTTTATCCAATAAAAATAGTAAAATGAAAAAATAATTTTAATATTATCAGATGAGGGGTCAATGAGATGCCGGTAGTGGCTTATATAGAAAATTATTATACATCTCTAAACCCTAAACCTTAAATCTTAAACTATTTAATTAAAATTAGCTCATAAGAATCGGGAGATGTTAAATTTAAATTCACACTAAAAAAATGTCCTTTTTCTTAAATATAAATCAGGTGGAATTGAATTTTGAATTTTAATTTAAATATAACAATAATGTAAAAAAAAAATATTATCATTTTAGTTACATATTATTATGAATAATAAATTTATTAAATTTTATAACAATTATCTTAAAACATATTATAAAAACATATATTTTAATTGATTAGTGATATTTTTTTTTACATTGATAGTATATAAAAATTAAACTCTTGAAATTAAGAATAGATTGCAATGTACATTATTTTACTCATTTCGTTTTGAAAAATGATTTTATTTGGTGATTCATCCAATGATTAGCTTAAAATTATGATTCATTAATTGTTTGAATTTATTTAATAGAGTATAATGACATGTGGTGAGCAGTTCAATTCTCAAGATCGTGTATAAAAAAATTATCAGTTAAAAAAACTGGCATTTTTTTAACAGATATATTTAAAAAGATTAATACATGTAACTTCCGGGAAATACTGTGAATTTATCCGAAGTATATGAGGGCATCTCCAATAGAAGCAACTCATTTGAGTTGCTTCATGCATTGAAAAATGAAAAAAGTGGTCTCTAGTGTGCCATAAACTTATGAACTAAATTTAAATTTTTATTAAAAAGGATAATTACGCTATAATGAAAGAAAATAAATTATGAGAAAAAATACACAATAAGTAGATATTAAAAATAAAATAAAGCAATAATAAATACATAAATATTATACAAAATTAATTTTCATCATTATTATTTCTGAAACGTTTCTAAATATGTTTAATAAGATCTGCTTAAAATCTGGTAAGGAACGGTTGCTTGAGGAAGCAACTCTTTCTCTTCTTCAAGCAACTCATGTTGTCACGTCAGAGTTCTCCAATGGCAAGAAACCGGGATTTGAGTTGCTTCATAGGACAAACAACTCTCATTGGAATTGCTCCGAGTATGTTGCATATTGTGATGGCAATATAAGATTTTTTTATTCGCATGAGACAAAAAAAATAATTATATTTAAATCATCATTATTATTAATTCTATATCAATTAGAAATAATACAAAAATAATTTATAAAAATCTTGTCTCATAAATATTTTTTTAAAATCTTAAATATATTAAAATTTATATTCTAATAATTATTAATTATTGTTAAATTTATTATTTTAACATTGTTGATGACCTTTAATGATGTGTGATTTTTAATCACATTTTTTATTTTCATCCAAAGACCTTGAACCCAAAAGAGTACCCAACCTTTTTACAAGAAAAGACATTAACTACAAGTCAATTATTGTACATTTCTTTTTCAAAAAACAACTTAAGAAAATAGTTTATAATATGTCCATTACTTATTTATAATATATAAAAATAATTTAACCTTATTTGTCGTTGATTATATAAATAACTTTATATAAATACTTACATAACATGTTAGAGGGATAAACAAAGTTATACATTGTTAGAACAAGTATGTGAAGAAACACAAATTTATAAATACATTAATGTCTTTATTTATATGAGTTTTTTTGAATAATAACTAAAAATAAATTTATAAAATTTAAGTTGAACGTGAATAATATTATATTAATATAAAGATATGTATGCCAGAGAATCTTAGTATGCCAAGTATTTGTTTAATAAGATATTGTTAACTAATTTTTAATTTTCACAGATATATAATTGAAATTTATAATTATAAGTTGGGTATGATCTTTCGGCGAAATAACGGGGTTGAATAATGTGTTACTCATGCAATGGCTATGGCATGGTATGCATTATTTTCGCTAATTAAAGAAAGAGAACGTACAATACAACATTTTTGTGCGATGGTGCCAACTGTTAGAAGAAGATGTAATTTGTTTTGTTTCTTTAATAGTGTGTTTGGAAGAAAAATTTTACAAATTCAAAAATTTAAAATTTTAATATTTAAATTATTTTGATTTTAATTTTTATTATTTTTAAAATATTTTATTTAGATAAGTTAATTCAAAATTTTTAAATTTTAAATTATTAATTTAGATATGATAATTTGATTTTACCATGATAAAATTGATTTTAAAAATATATTTATATGTTGAGATTTTTAAATAAAATTTTATAAAAAATATTTAATAATTTTAAAAAGTAATATTAAATAATATTTAATAATTTTAAAAATATTTTTAAATATTCAATAATTAAAAACACGAAGAGATAAGAGATAGAATAAAATATATAAGTGAAATAGAAGAAAAAAAATGAGAAACTTCAAATTCTTACTTTTTTAGAAAATTTGAAATTTTACTATTTTAAAAATTTTCATAAATATTTAAATTTTAAATTCTTTATAAATTTTTCATCTAAACAAAATATTTTACCTCAAAAAATTTAAAATTTTTAAATAAATAAATAATTTCATTTAAATTACTCATCTTAATACACCGTTAGTTTTCACTTCTCATGTACGCATGCTGGGGAAGGGGGACTTCCAGCTGGCAGTGCCTGTGGTGCTGCTTGCCTTCCACGTCGACTACGTGGGCTGGAAGGACCCTTCACATAGGCCCTTGGGCTTCACACCTTCTTTACTCCTCAGGTTGTGGTCCAGGGCCAGGCCCAGCTCCAGGGAAATGACGATACTGCCCTTGTCTCATAGTTACTCTTCCTCTTAAAAAATATAAATACTTTGTTGAGTGATGGAAAGGAATTTTCTACCACTCTTTTCTTTGTCTTGAAATTCATGTAAAATTTTCACTAGTTTAAGACTGTGACCAGCAAAAATATGCAATGAGACCCACCTAAATTTTATGAGTGTTGGAAAGGAGTATCATGGTAATATTTCTCATAAACATTTTAAGGGTCGTGAGTGGTGAAGTTTTGGGAAGAAATTACGGGTCAACCTTAAAAAAAAAAAATTAAGGAAAAAAGAAAAGAGAAAAGGTAAGACAAATCCATTACTAGCTACTTTTGCGGCGCTTTCCCTATTTTTCTTGTTTATTCTCGTTGTTTTGGCTAAGCTCGTGACTAGTGGTAGATTCAAACCAGATGTTGACATAAAGGATTTTTCAATCGCGATTTCATCACCTAACACAACAAGTGGGAGGCCACTTCCTCACCTAATAAATTAATGCCAAAAACAGGTTCTATCAGTTATGGAAGTTCTTCTGTTCTTTTCATCATCAAAACAAGTTGAACCAAAGGCAACCGTCCTATTAAAACCAACCGCATTACTAATTAGAGTGGAAGATTTTCTTGAAACTCAATAAAAGAAATTTCAACTTTATCTCTTATAAAACACTTAGTAGTTACTAGTTAGTAACAAGGTAATTTCCGTAGTCCATACATTCGGTGAGCAAAATTAAGTTCCCAGAGAATCAACAATGCAACAAGAATTTATAATGTTTTTAACAGTTGAACTAATTTTTTTGCCAGCAGGCAACTTTCAGTAGGCCTACATCAATTTGTTTGGAAGTCACCATAAATGGGGCACTGAGGACCAAGGTGGACAATCTTGGAGTACATGTCATGGTAGCATTATACGAAACCGGCTCGGTCACTGACTGCCCTAGAGGGGAAAACAAAGGGCGTGTTCTATCCAATGACTATGTTGTTAGGAAACTTGAAAAGCTCTGCACTGTCAAAGGCCACCCTGCTAAGAAGCCACTATCAGGAACTGTTAGTTTTTCCTTGTGGGAATCATTCAACAGCAGTAGGTGTGGCATGGCAGTCTTTGTTCAAAGCAGCTCTCATCAATTTTTTGGTTCACAGAATAACCATCTGCCAGATGATATATGATATACAACACTGATTAATTAGTTTTGTATGTTCTGATTACTATCTTGTTCCAGCTCCGTTGTTAGGGTTATATATAAAATATGTACAGCCGTACAGAACATGTAATGTTTAAGGTTGCCATTGGAGAGAGAAAAAAAAAATGAAATTGTGGCCTGTTTTATTGTGTTCAGTTTGTTTTCTTCCTTGCGCTGTCTCGTTAATTGTCCGCAAATTCGGTGATCTAGGTTTGATCATAGCAAAAATGCACAAAAATTTATGATTTTATCATGAATAAATCTGTTATTTCACAAGCAGATGGCAGTGAAGAATTGCATTTATTTTACAAACGAGCAAACTCTACTATGTACAAGTCGGACTATTCCTCCAAAGAACAAGAATTTTGACAATCATACAACGAACAAATCTTTCCATCAGATTGCGTTCTCAAACTAAATCTACCAATTAGGTACCAACCAATTCCCCCAACACCTCTTTTGAAGCACATCCAAGGTTGATGGCAACCGTGGCATAGCAATGGTATCCTGATTATGTTTCCCTGAAGAAAAGAATTAGCTGGAAGAACAAATTGCGTTTTACACAGAATCTACCGCTTGAACTTGTTGCCGGGCCAGATACTTCTCCCTTCTCTCTTTCTATAAACATTAGGGGACAGTTTAAGACGTAAATAAGGAAAAATGTGTTAAATTAAAAACGTTGAAATGGACAATTCATTCTCGACATTATGCTTACCCATTCATCGATTACAAGGCCTTCAGCAACAACTCGACCTTCGGCCACAACTCGATGACCTGCCTCCGCAGGAGGCTTCTTCCGAGCTTCAACTGCGGCATCAGCTTCAGCCAACTGTCTTTTCAGTTTTTCCAAAGCCTAAAATCACCAAGACTGTCATTATCTCACATTGATTCCTTAGACCTGTACTAGGACAATTTTCAAAGAAGTTTGACTTACAGGACTCTGCCGTTCTGGATCTATAAACACAACCCTCCATATTCGTTCCACTGTCACTAGATCCTTTTGTTCTTCAAACTGCATAACAGAAGGCCAGAGTACCATTGTTGGCATATATTAATGTTGTAAGGCCTATAGGCTATAGCTAACTCAAACAAATTAGTGTTCAACATATAGAATAATATTATAGAATTTCTCAATAGCACTACTGCTGGCAAATAATCACGTAGTTACAATACCAGGAGTAGAAAACCACTAGCTGGCTATCTCACTTTTATTTGTTTGTTCAGTAAAAGACGTAGTAGTTGTACTATATAATTAAACATATTAAAAGGATAATCCATGACACAAGAAGAACAAACATGAATAACCAATAACATTATCAATCCTCAGAGGAGACTTTAAAGGACTATGCATAAAATATAGCAATTACAGCAAAAAACTGCTTGTGTATTTTCTCAACTCTGGAATTTGTGTACAGTCTCACCATTTCTCCTCATCTTCTCTCTTCGCTTATTCTCTGCCTCTAGTTTTCACTTTTAGATTCCCTTCACCCCAAAAAAGTAATTAAAATGATCAGTCATGATAAAACCTGAGTATGAATAGTTCAATTCACCCAATACAAAATCAGATTTAGCCCAAGGACGATCAAGCAGTTCACAATAGAAAATACATCAAACCTACCCAACTTCCAAATCTGTAGATCTAAACTCTTCCCTATGATCACAAGTTTTGTCTACTATTTAAAACATATTCCATCAAACTTAAAGAGACTCTTGAAAAGTCTGTGCACTATGACTTTTCCAAAGATCCTGGCTGCCAATTGGCCTAATTCAAAGAAACATGCCAGTATTATCACGTAACCCAAGTTTTGTCTCAATTATTCCTACAACAAAGTAACACAATCCATGCTACACACGTGACTTTAATAGAGAACTATGTAGCATGAGTTTTGGGGCAGTCAATGAATTATTTTAAGCTGAAAGATATAGTGCACCTAAAAAAGTAAAGGCTATCTGTAAATCTACCTTTTCTAAGATTTTTCTGGTTTGAGAAATTAATTATTTGCAACCGCTAGGCAGTATAGGTTTGCCAATCAAAAGTTTTTTCATAACATCCAAGCTTCACTTTCTAGCAAGGCCATAGCACCTACCCTCGGCTCCAGATATTTCAACTCCATTAATAGATTCATGCAAACATGCTGTCTTGTTAGCACGTTAACCAACTAAAAAGGGTGGAGGGGGTTGAGATATGTCAGAAAATTCAAGTAGATCTTTCTACACCTAGTTAATTTCAGATCCTCTAATTCAACCAACAAAATAGTCCGAAAGTAAAATTTAGGAGGAACCCATCTCTCTCTCTCTCTCTCTCTCTCTCTCTCTCTCTCTCTCTCTCTCTCTCTCTCTCTCTCTCTCTCTCTCTCTCTCTCTCTCTCTCTCTCTCTCTCTCTCTCTCTCTCTCTCTCTCTCTCTCTCTCTCTCTCTCTCTCTCTCTCTCTCTCTCTCTCTCTCTCTCTCTCTCTCTCTCTCTCTCTCTCTCTCTCTCTCTCTCTCTCTCTCTCTCTCTCTCTCTCTCTCTCTCTCTCTCTCTCTCTCTCTCTCTCTCTCTCTCTCTCTCTCTCTCTCTCTCTCTCTCTCTCTCTCTCTCTCTCTCTCTCTCTCTCTCTCTCTCTCTCTCTCTCTCTCTCTCTCTCTCTCTCTCTCTCTCTCTCTCTCTCTCTCTCTCTCTCTCTCTCTCTCTCTCTCTCTCTCTCTCTCTCTCTCTCTCTCTCTCTCTCTCTCTCTCTCTCTCTCTCTCTCTCTCTCTCTCTCTCTCTCTCTCTCTCTCTCTCTCTCTCTCTCTCTCTCTCTCTCTCTCTCTCTCTCCTAATGGTCTCGACCTCATCATTAGAAAATTCTATACAATATCAGAAGGTACGAGACATACCAGCTCAGGTACATAGTCCACTCCTTCCTTCACCTTGAGACTCATGATTTTGAACTTGACCTTGTTCTTCTGATCCGACATTTTTTCATTGTTTTCAGGTTGCTCCACGAACTTAAACACTGAGAACCACCAAATTTGGAAAGAAATTTTTTTTTAACATAATGCCAAAAAATATATATAATAACAAGATGACAAACACAATTTCATAATTCATAAAACACCACGCATAATAATAAAATAGATAAATAAATTACCCGTGGCAATCAAACTTTCCCCAGGAGCAAGAATCCCACCCGGAGGCCGCATGTAACAACTCTTTGGCGCCGTCGTTTGAAACTGAAACAACAAAAACAAAATCATTCTATAGAAGTCAATTATGACACCAAGCACATAGTTACATTTTTTTTTTCCATCACACATCAAAAACAGAACCGTTAACTCGGTAACACTAACACCACAACTAACGGCGTTTCAATTTCGGAAACTCGTTTCAAGCAAACGGTGCATGGAACAAACAATTTTACATTCAAACATGAAAACACTAACGCACCTTGAAAGCAACGTGAGACTTGCTAGTGTTCTTCAACCGAACCGCGCTCCGCACCTGCTTCCCCGGTTCATCTTCAAAACAAACGAAATTTCAGCACTGTCACCAAACGCGGCACAAGAATAAAAAAAAATGGAGACACCGAAATCGGAATCGAAATGGCCTTACATGGAAAGTAGAGGTAATTGGAAGGATCGAGACGGAGCTTCCGGCGCGGAGGGAGCAGCGACCTCGCGACGGACGACACCGTTTTGGAGGACCTCTGAACGGAGTGGTTGGAGCTCCAGAAGGGACAGAGCGTGAAGAGGCGCGCGTCGGAGTTAGGTTTCTGGCGGGCGGCGATGGCCATGTCTCGCCGGAAAGTGTGGCTGTTGTGGCTCCGGCGAGGAATTCGGATTAGTAGCAAAACGCAGCGTTTTGTTGCAGATTGAATTTAGAGGTTGGAATGTTGCGGAAGAAAACTCAGAGGGAGAAGAAGTGATAGCTTGTGTTCCGCTGTCAACGACTTTATGCCCACGCTCCTGCACTCGCAACGTGTCCTTCAGGTAGCGTTTTATTTAATGCACATTTATTATTATAAAAATAAATTAAGTTATAAATGTTACTACTATATCATGATCTTAGGCTTGCATCCAATCTTCTCTCTCTTTTTCTTAATATATTCTCACTCTCAGCTAACATTTTAAGCATTAAAAAAGATTCCCTCCTTTTTTAACATCTTTTTTTAATGAAATTTAAAAGGCTTCAAAATGTTTATAAGATTTGGACACAATTGATGGAATGATAAAAAAGTAATATAAGATGGTTTTGAATAGTAAAAGTGTTGTTAAAAGTAAGGAGGCATGGGGGTGAGGGCATTAATGATGGAGATTAAGTTAGGTGTGGGTTGATGTAAGGGGCATTAACCAATGTGGGCTAGGTTTGTTGGTGTGGGTTTGTTGTTCGTTGGGAAATTGATTAGGGAAATTATTATGACATTCCTTTGCTTTATCACAAACAACCATTTCCCCTACTCTTCAACCAACATATTTTAATCAATCCACTTTCACCCTTTCTTTCTATTAAATCCATATACCTCTCATTATTACTCCACTTCATCATTATCAAATCTCATTATTGGATTCACTCTGACTGGCCCAGTTGGATTTGCCCTCATTTTCTTGGCACATTAATTAATTACCAGGCCCGATCCATCACACCTTTCTTTTTCGAATCCGTTAAATTAAGCCCAACGTCACAAGAAGAGACGAGGTTGGTTTAACACATTTAATTATTTAGTAAAGCTTATATAAGATATGTTAATTATTAATAAATAAATAAAAAAAGAGAAGTGTGATTTAAATAATTTAGTGGGTGTAACATGAATTATATTAGAAATGAAATTAGGGTGTGGGTTGTTGGATGGTGTATATAAAATGGATGATGAGTGGAAGGCAGAGAGTATTGTTGTGAGAGGAATGAGGATGAATGGTGATGGTAACATGAGGATGTGCAAATCGGAGAGCGCATTGAAAACGTTGTTGGTGAGAGGAGAATCTTTGGGGGGTGAACGTGGTGGCAATAAGGGGAGCAGTGGCAATATGAATGCAATGATGCAATCTAATATTGTTGATGACTCCATGAGGAAGACGGAGAAAGATGAGAACGTCAAGCACTTGATTTGCTGGGGACCCACCATTCCTTAGATCTTAAATCTCTTTTAGGTTTCTTTTCACTTTTTTTTTCTTTTTCTTCTCTTTCTTGGATTGGATTGCATGTATTCTTCCCAACCCTGAATTAGTTTCAGTTATTTGGTTAAAGACGATAATTAAATGTTTAAGTGTAATTTTTTAATTTAGTTAAAATCAAATCACAGTTTAAACATTGGTTTGATATTTTAGTAATTATTGTCTCTTTCAACTTGATTGTTGTTTTACAAATTTAATGCAATTTTGATTGTCTTTTTCCTCTATTTTTTTTTATTACAGTTTTGGAAGTACAAATATCACTCTTCCTAAAGTATGCATCAACTTCATTTTATAGTTTTTTTCAAAAGTTTAGAAAATGAAAAAATGAAAGTAAAAGGAAAAGGAGATAATCCATTTTCATTTTGATCTAGAAAACAAATCAAAGATAAGTTAGTCGTTTATTCAAAATCAAAATATTCAAAAATTTAATATGTTTTCCTTTTAAGTCGGAGATTCCTATTTATACTAGAATTATATTCTATGAGTGAATCTTTTTCTTAATGTGGTTTCATAAATCTCAAAATATTACTTATTATTATTATTATTATTAATTTCAATAAATCATGTCATTATAACTATTATGATATATGATCTCATAAGTTTCAACATTTCATCTTATCTACTATTGAGAAGTGGTCAATCATCGACTAAATCCTATTCTAATAGTGAGGGGTTTAATTGTCAAATCTTGATCAATTGGAGGCTAGATTAATAAACACAGACAACCAAATGATGGACTATGGGCCAAGGGCCTAATTACTCAAGCTATTGCTAGGAGCATACAGGGAGGATTGGCTAGCTTAGAGGTTAGTGGGCTTTCTAAGCCCAAACTACTCTTCATGTGGGCCATCACATCTTGAATAGATGGTTTAGCTTATATGTACATAGTAGTTCTTGTATAGGTTCATCTTGTCTTTGTATTTGTGAGACACTTTCTTTCTTTCATTATAGGATATCCCTTTGAGTATTTAGGGTATGTTACTTGGAGACTTTTGCTCCATTTAACCTTGTATTAAGGTCATTTATTTTCATATTTTCAGTAGTAGAAGTGGGGTGACAAATAGTAAGGTGTGTAGGTGCAACTAGTAATTGGACCAGAAGTAGGCCTAGGCTAAATTTTATATATTCAGCTTGTTTTCCTCCATATTTTCCAAGGAATTGATTTAGCTAGGTTTCACCATCATTTGGTGAACCTAACTAAACCAATTCCAAGATTTTTGGATTGGATTACATGTTGGAACAAGCCTTGGCTGCCTAGCCTTTTTCTTCTTGGCCGAAATTACCAAGTTTGTCTTGCATACTTGGGAAGCTTGTGCTACAAGCTTCAAACTTAGCTTGCTTTCCAAGCTTCTAAGTTAGAAGCTTGCTTCACAAGCCTCCTAAACTAACCAGGCCGGTCAAGTTTGACTAACCATAATTCTCTTGAACCATAGTTAGTCTAGCTTGTATCACAAGTTTTCTTACTCTATATAAGTTTTTCTCTTACCTTTGTAATTACTTTTGACATTTATGATATTAGAGTTCAGAAAATTCTCTTTCTCTCAAGAGCCCTAAATTGTGGAGAAAATCCCCATCCTTAAGAACTTTCATAAAGGAATCCTTCCTTCGTGCCTTGGTTCATCAAACTTCTTTTTTTTCTTCAAGAAGAGTGCACCACCGTTGTTGCTTCCTTCAAGCTCTTGGAGCTTGAATCTCAATCCGTGAAGACACTTCTACCTCAAGAGAAGATTGGACTTGAAGATGGATCTAGTTGAAGAACACCAATCCCCTCCACTAGAAACTTCCATCACCAAAGGCTTGAATTATACAATATCCTTAATCGTTATTAACACATTATTTAATTATAAGTGAGAATCCAAAAAAAAATTAAGAATATATAGAGAAGGTATATGATTTGTTTTATAAAATCCAACATATTAACTATATTTCTTAAGTCTTGAAATAAAATGTTAAATAAAATAGAAAGAAAATAATATTATTTTTTTACACCAAAACAAAACAAAAACAATATTATTTTGTCATATGCGTTAAATTTAATGAATTTTATAGTTATTATTTTAAATTTATACTTACACCAGTAGTACATAAAATAAATTATGCTCTAGAGTAGAGATGTTAGCCGCGGGAGGAAAAATTATTTAATAATATAAATATTTAAAGTTTGGGTGTTACTCTCTTTGTTGTGGCCTTTATCTACTTTAGAAGAATTTGGTGAGAAAAGAGACATTTTGTCTCTTTATTTTTTTTAAAAATTATAAAATTATATATTAATGAGTAGTTACTAATGATATAGATAGTATATAATATAATTTAAGCTGTATTTAGAATGGTAAAATTAAAAAGAAATTGTATATGCAAAATAAGTCATCACCTTTATTATAGTTTCAAAGTTGTAAATATATTATTTTTACAATATGCTTGTCTTTAATGTTAAGTTTTTTTTTGGTTTTTTTCATATATTAATTTGTTTTTAAAAATTGTAACTCTCAAATTTAAATTAACATTGTTCTTTGTTTTTTTTCCCCTGACACTTACATTATCCTTTTTAGATAGTAATCATTTTCAATTTTCGGATATGACTTTAAATTCTTTTTAAATTAATTTAAAATGTAATGTTTGTTCCATCATCGAGATAAAAATTATAATATTTAACTAATATTTGAATGAAAAAAGGACCACAAACATGATAAAAATCACATAAAACATGAGTTTCAGGAGTAATCATCTCTCTTGTTTAGAACAAAAAATTATCTCTATAAGTACACACAATGATATAAATAAATACACAATAATTAACACTATAAAAATTTATATAAAAAAAACATCATACAAAATTTATTAATTAAGTTTGAACTTTATCAACGATAATATTTCAATAAATGTTTACTATTTCAAACATCATCATAAGTTTTCTAATAAAACTTGATGAACCTCTTTTCAAATGACACTCCCTTCTCATTTATAACAACAATTTCTTTTAGAGGTTAAGTAGTTGTTTTCATTTAAAAAAAATTATTTATTAACTTAACATTATAATATTATAAGAGAAAATAAATCCCTAAAAGAAACATTTTTCATCGTAACAATAAGTAATGGTAGTTTTTTTAATTCTATATTTGCACCAATAATATGATAAAAAAAATAATACATTGAATTCAAGTGTTATTTTTTGTTTTAGCGTAAAATATAGGATTTGATATAGTAATTGCCGGCGGTTTGACGACCAAAAGCAATAGAGAAGTCAACCTAAGCTAAGCGTCCAAAGATAAACTTTGACTAACTCAGCCTTCATCATAAAGAAAATTTAATAGATGCTCCTGTAAATTTTTTAAAACCATTTCTCCATATAACTTACTTTAATCTTTTTTATTTTACACCAGTAATATAATTATAAAAAAAAGTTATCAACACTTAAGTAAAATTTGACAACTAGGGTTAGTCTGATAGTTGGGTGGGGAAGAATTTGGGTAGTTAGAAGCACGAGAATCTAGGTTCAATCCTCCACTATCTTTGTAATTTTTCCTATCTTTAAAAAAAAAAAAATTTGGTAACACCTTAATTAGCGCATATCTGGTAATGAAATTTAAGTAATTTCCACATGATTTTATATTCAAAATTTATTATCATTTATTGTGACTAAAAAAATTGTTTTGTAAGAAGAACATGATAAAATAAAGCATTCTATACTATTTTGTTTTCTTCACATTTAGAAGAATAAAAATGTATTGATTTTTTTATCCTATGTTTTATTTTATTCTTAAAGCATAATAAACATAAAGTAGAACTCGTATACTTGTTCTATTGCATTTTAACATATTCACCAAATGTTAATTACTTTTACAATTTCATATACTAACAAATTTTTTACTAAAAATAGTTATATTTTGCTTTCCCTAACTATAAATTATTTATTTTGATTGATCTATTTAATTACAATTTTTTATGTAGAGTGAAAATACTGAAATTTAAACTTAAAAACTCGTACAAATAGTGCACCCAAATTACTTATTACTATATTGATTCCAGTAGTTTTACACTTGTTGATATTGATAAATTATATTTCCACTCCCCCTCCCCCTCCCAAACAATCTACCTCTTTGAGTTATTCATATTGATTTTTATTAATACTTTTTAATAAAATTAAATATATACATACAAAGTGAATTTTTATACCTTTAAAATGTTATTTTATTTTATAAATATTTTTAAAGTCTTTTAAAAATAAGTATATAAAAAGTTGATGATCTCTCAAACCAAAAAAGTTGATGATCTTAACTAATTTTGATCTCATTCGTACTCCTTTTAAAATCATATATAAACAAAAAAATACTAAAAAAATTAGATTAAAAACTAAACAAATTTCAACTAACTCAACATTATTATTTAATGTTCTTAGTTCAAAAATACTCAAAAGATAATAAATGAGAATATTATTTATAATAATTATAATTAAAAATATTTTAATAAATATAATGTATATTTTATATGAAATCATGAAAATTAAATGTTTTTTTAACTTTATCTTCTTTAATACCGATATCTTATTTATAAAATTGAGTCTAATATTATTCAAACCTGATTTATTGTGGTTTATATACAAGTTATAGGCAGAGACACAGTTAATTTTTATTTTGATAAATACGACTCACCGAACACAATTAAGTTCTATTTTGTCCAAACTTATAATCCAACCACAATCAAAGGTAACACAAATTTCATTTTTTATATTTTTTTTATTAAGGAGGGCTTGAAAGCCCACGCAAATTTCAATTTTGACATTTGAATGTGTGAAATTCCTCCCAAAACTAATTCAGTAAGGAAAATACTTTTGACAAGGTAATTATCCATTATTAGTGGTAGGAGTTCACCATGGGTTTGTAATATAAACCAAAAATGCATCCGTTGCTTGCTGGCAAAGACTAATGTAGCTTCTCCCATTTGAGACATAAATTCTATGCTGACTAACATATTAAATTATATTTTTTTTATCAATCTGGAAGAAAAAATTACATGTTTGGACACGGTTGAGGAGAAAGGATGAATCATCTAAGGAACAAATCAAACAAAAAATATATTTATTTAACAATAATTACCACTATGGTCTCTAGTCAATGGTTATTAGTACCAACTAACTTGTCAACTAGCACTTTTATTTTATGGTTAACTTTCAAAGTACCAATACCATTCAAGCCCGAACAATCTCACGGCAAAGACTTGTCAACAAGCATGACATCATTTTCTTTCTTTTTTTTATTTTTTATTTTATCACAAACTGAATTCTACCATTCTTGCTTGCTCATATTTTCCCCTGCTTCTTCACTAATCCCTTGTTTTATTGGTGGTGTTGGTTCACATGCACATGTATCATAGTGATCATTTGTATATATGAGCATATATCCCACAGAATAAGGATCACTGGATCAGAAGCTTTCTGTGTGTCGCCTGAATTATACACCAAGAATTCAAACTTATATTCAGGTAAACACTAGCTTTGTTTTTAACTTTTTCATTGTTTTAATTAGTTTCCCTCGTTTAAGTATATCTTGCTACTTTTCTTTTGTAACTGTATTTTGTTGGTGTGTTGGTTCTTTCAGAAGACTGTTGATGTGGAAGCTTCAAAATTCTCGAAATTGATTTTTCAACTTTTCATCATATGTTCGTGATGATTGTTTCCAAATTTTTAGTCACATGTTTTGCCTCGGAAAGATGATATCATTCTTCTCTAGTTCTCCATAATTTAGTTTAACTAAAGGACCTTTTTATAGTATGTATCTTTGAACAAGTGAATATAATTTATTAGCAACCTGATTAATTTTTTCAGGTCATAGTTTTATATGATGTTACATAAATAATCTCATACCGAAAGCAATATCTATCATGAAAAGTCACTAGAAGCCGGGAACATGAACTTGTTAATTAAGAAATTCAATGAGATTCCTTAAATATGGGAAATTAATGGTATTTTGCAAGCGCAGGCATAGCAGTTGATAATATTTTACTGATGTATTTTGTTTAGGGAACTTTTCCTTTTACAATTTTCTTTTCTTTTGCACATAACTTATACTTGACTATTTTTTCTTGCAGGAGCATGCTATGGCTGCTAATGTCATAGAGGGCTTGGTAAAAATCAGTGAAACATATTCTCTTATCTTGGATCTGCTCAGCGGATTCAACATCTTCAATGATAACGTACGAGGACTAGAAATGAAACTTGAAGAGCTCTGCAGCCTGGAATATGACATAAACAAAGAGCTAAAATTTGCAGAGCTACAACAAGGCAAGAAAAGGAAACGCGAAGTTGAAAATTGGCTGAGAAATGTTCAAAGGAAGAAAATTGAAGTCTATGGCATAGTACAGGAATTGAGAGATGGTGGAGTACTTAGGCATCTAAAGTTAACTGTACAAGTGAAGAAACTAACAGGACAAGTGACAGATCTTGTGAAAAGTGGTAGGTTTCCTAAAGGACTTGTGGGGTGTGCACAGGAATCAAGAGGATATGCATTTCTGACAACAAAATTAGCAGGTGCAATGTTTCGGAAAAATGTTGGTAAGATATGGGACTGGTTGATGAATGATGGTGTGTTAATTATTGGTGTGTATGGCATGGGAGGAGTGGGGAAAACAAGTATGTTGATGCACATACATAATATGCTTTTAAAAAGTGTCACCAACTTTGATAATGTGTTTTGGGTGACTCTCTCACAGTCATCTAGCATTCACAAGTTGCAGTGTGATGTGGCAAAAATAGTTGGACTAGATATTTCCAAAGAGAATGATGAAAAGAAAAGAGCAGCAAGACTATCATGGTCATTGATGAGAAGGAAGAGATGTGTCCTTTTTTTAGATGATGTGTGGAACCATTTTCCTCTAGAGAAGGTGGGAATTCCTGTGAGAGCAGAAGGGCTAAAACTGGTTTTGACAAGTCGTTCGTTGGACGTGTGTCGAAGAATGAACTGTCAAAACAGTGTCAAAGTGGAGCCTCTTTCTAAGGAAGAAGCATGGAGGTTATTTGTGGACAACCTTGGACAACACACTACTCTTTCTCCAGAAGTAACTAAGGTTGCTAGATCTGTTGCAAAAGAATGTGCTGGTTTACCCCTTGCAGTTATTACAATGGCCAGGAGCATGAGAGGGGTGGAAGAAATTTGTGAGTGGCGGCATGCACTCGAAGAACTAAGAAACACAGAAATAAGGATGGAGGAAATGGAAATGGAGGTACTCCGTGTGCTGAAGTTTAGCTATGATCACTTGAATGATAACATGGTACAAGAGTGTTTTTTATGCTGTGCATTATATCCTGAAGGTTTTGACATAGACAGGGATGTGTTGATAGAAAGTTTTGTTGATGATGGACTTGTCAATGGAATGAAAAGTTTGGAGGCAATGTTTGATGAAGGACACACCATACTGAATAAGCTTGAGAACAGTTGTCTTTTGGGGAAAGTGGAAAATTATGTTGGTGGAAGGAAATGCATGGGATTACAGGATGCCAGCAGTCATATAGCTATCAGCATGATGAAAAGAGGTTGCCAATGTGTGGCACCAATAGATAATGTGGAAGGCTATTATGTGGGAAGTCAAATGGTGAAAATGCATGATTTGGTGAGGGCTATGGCTATTAATATTATAAAGGTGAACCACCATTTCATGGTGAAGGCTGGGTTGCAATTGACCGAGATTCCAGATGAAGAAGAATGGACTGAGGATCTGGAGAAGGTTTCCTTGATGTGTAATTGGATACATGAAATTCCAACTGACATATCACCTAGGTGTCCTAAACTTAGAACCTTGATTTTGAAGCATAATGAATCCTTGACTTGGATCTCAGATTCTTTTTTTGTTCACATGTCTGCTCTCCAAGTTCTTGATTTGTCCTTCACAGACATTGAGGTTTTGCCAAAATCTGTGGCTGACTTGAACACCCTCACTGCTTTGTTGCTAACATCTTGCAAGAGGTTGAAGCACATGCCTTCACTAGCAAAGCTGCAGGGCTTAGTAAGGTTGGACCTATCTTTTACAGCAATCACAGAAATACCTCAAGGTTTGGAAATGTTGGTCAACCTTAGATGGCTTAATCTTTATGCAAAAAACTTGGTGTCCACAGGAAAAGAAATAGCAAAATTGACTCGCCTCCAATTTCTTATTCTCCATTGGTGGTCCAGAAAGATAAAAGTGAAAGTAGAGCATGTATCATGCCTGAGGAAGTTGGAAACTTTTGCAGCTAACTTATACAACATTCATCATTTCAATGCCTATGTGAAAACAATGCATAAATATGGACCTAGAAGTTACCTTCTTCAGTTAGACACTGAAGAGTCTCTTGGTAGACCTCCATGGTGCTTTTTTGCTGAAGTTTGTTTCAGCAAGGATGCGATCATTTCAAATTGCAAAATCACAACAGGAGAAACACCCCTTGTGCTCCCTTTAGACATTCAGCGCTTGAAGATTGAAAGATGTCATGACATAAGAAGCTTATGTGATGTTTTGTCATTAAAAAATGCCAGTTCTTTGAAACGCTGTGAGATTGCTGATTGTGATGGACAAGAGTACTTGTTTTCTTCATCTTGCTCTTCCTCATGTTGCACTTCTCTTCACAACCTAGAATCGGTGGAACTCTACAGCCTGAAAAGCTTGCACATTCTGTGCAAGGAAAATGAAGCTGTAGCTCACACTTTTCGACCACGAGGAGCATTTGCTTATCTCAAGTATTTTTGCATCTACCATTGTCCCGTTATCAAGAAGCTGCTGACACCTGGATTGTTAGCTTATCTACAGAACTTGGAAGAGATAACCGTTCATAATTGCAAGTCGATGGAGGAAATAATTTCAGTAGATGGCATAGATTATGAAAGCTCTTGTGGTAACAAATCTGGTATGGCCAACATAAAGGCTGTAGTAGTCACACATTCAAAGTTAGTATCATTATCATTGAAGCACCTACCAGAACTCAGGAGCATATGTAAAGGACTAATGGTATGTGAGTCTCTACAAAACTTTAGGATCTTTGAATGTCCAAAACTTGTTAGGCTCCCTGAAACTACTACCCCAGTTCAGACTCTTTACGATTCTTTTTGACTGAGACCATAGTCTAGGATTAACTATTAGATATACATTGATGGGGTCGGGTGACTGAAATCTAATTGAAAATTTGTTGATTGAAATGTAAATATTGATGAAGACTGTATGATTAATTGATTGCATTATCTAATTTATGAAATCCTAAGTGGAGACTATTCTGACAATGGTGGAGTGGAATGTGTATACAAACTAATGTCTAATGTTAATATAGAAGTTTAACTTCTCACCTATGCGGAATTTGGCATATCATAGCCGAATCTCGGTGAATAATGTGAAACTCAATTGTTCTTTTCTTCATTGATAATTCTTTACCATGGGAGAATAACACACTTTCTAAATTTTGCTCACTCCATTCACTGTGGTCATGTGTTGTAAATTGTTAATACGATGGAATCCAAAACATCCTCTTTTGGAAAAATATGATAGCAAATAAGGTCAGTCTAGTTGATTGACCCAATTATTTTTTCTCTATCATAGCTATCTATGATTTTTTGTTTAACCAAAAAGCAGTAATTTGACCAAAATATTCTGAAAACTTGTTTAACATATCATTTCGATCACTCTTTCTTGATAAATAAACTCCTCTATAGAGTGATTGTTGAAAAACCAGATCCTGCAACCCAAAGTAACTGGCTTCACTGCATAAGACATAGACACAGCATTGACAACATACCGGAGATAAATTCTTGCGCAGCTGATAAATCCATGAACATAATGACTAATTGGACATAAATCTTTTAGATCAAGCCACAACCAAACCTAAAGCCGTAACCCCCACACTGCCACACCCTTTTTAGCATTAATCTAAATTACATAGTACACTGATCATATCGGTTCTCTCTTGCACTTTCCTCGATTAGTACATCGATATTCGTAATCAATATCAATCAGATTGATAACATAACATACTAACCAGATTTGCCCTCTACAAAATATGCACGATCCATGGGCACATAATTAAAATCGAAACAAACAGATAAAACCAGAAAAATAGACCTCAAAATTCTTTTTCATTGAATCATATTTACCATTTGATAGACAAAATTCCGTATGAATCATAGAGATGCATAAGGTAATATAATGGGATGGCAAGGCTACAAAGTAGCATCAACTTGCAGCACAATGATCAATTGGGTTACATAGGCTTAAATAAACCCACATAAGACCACCCCCACTAAAACCTAGCAGTATTGGGACCCCAACAACTCAAATCCATGACTTTCCTCATGGAGTCCTCCTTGGTTCTCTTGACCTTTTTGGAAACAGCAGCAGAAGTGGCAGAAGACAAGGTCTTGGCCTGAGTGTATGACCTGATATTGCTCTTTGCATGCTGCTGCAGTGATCTCAAAGCATAGTTCCACCTGCAGACACCCAGTTGATCCTTCAAGGCCTCCACTGCTCCTATGCTGGATGCCACAACCCATGCTCTGGTGGCTGAACTCATATTTGTTGCTAAGGCTTTTGGTGAATCTGAATGAGAAATTGTGTTGATGAGTGGGGAGAGTTATGTTGGGTCATATATATATGTGGGTGAATGAGTGATTTGGTAGTTGGTGGGTGAATCCTAAACCACAGGCTTCGTTTGTTTAAGGTGGAAAGAACAAAGGAAGAAGCAAAACCAGGGGCGTTGGACCCACCGTTTGGAGCAGAATCCTAGCACTTTACAAAATCCACACGGTTTGTCTAGTGTAGCTTCTTACATGATTCATGGTACCAGCTGTTTATTTGATACTGTAACAGTAAGTAACGTGACAAATTTTAGAATAATTAAATGATTGTTTCTGAATTATAAATAACTTACAAAATATAATAATGAGTGGTTCTACGTCTTCTACGGTTCTGTTCTGGCCACGGAAGTTGACATAACCTCAAAAAGAAGAAGAAAAAAATAAATATGTCAGTCTTTCTATTATTTTTATAAATTTTTAAATAATTTGTATTTTCAAAGTTTGCAATTAAGTTTTAAATTTGTAAATTAACGTTAATTAGACTCTCGATTTTGTTTTTATCAATATTCATATTACTTTTATTCTAAAGTGTAATTAGACTCTCGATTTTAATTTTCACAATATTCATAATAAGTAATTAACTTTTATAATAATTATATTATATGCTGTAGTTTAATTTGACTCATATATTAAACTCTGTAGTTTAATTAAAATTTCTCAAATAATTAATTTAGTTGAATAATTTGTTAAAAATAATCTATATCAAATATTTTTTTAGTATTATTTAATTATAAATTATCATATATAATAAGCTTATTGATTGAAGTTATAGTTATCCTTAATCACATATCTTCCCTTAAAATTTACCATCAAATCTTATTAGTTCAATTATAACTTACTATTTTTTAATGACATTGGCTATAGTGGCAAAAATCATCTTATATAATTATTATTTTAATTTGTACAATAAACATGTATGTTTATCATGTATAATTAAAGATTATAATAAATTATATAAATAAATATTATATTTAATATATAAGTTATATTTTAAATTTCTATAAATAAATATTTTCACACATATACATTATGATAAATAATTTATATTATAATATAAACTTTTTTATTTATTAATAATTTATTTTAAAATATTAATATTTAATTTATAAATAATAATGATAAACAAAAATTAAATTAGATAAAAAAAAAGTTAAAATAAATTACAATCATGCAAGTTTGTTATTTATAGTTAATATATAAGAATTAATTAAAAACAAATGGTTAAAATATTTAATATATATGAATTATTGTGTAAGAAATGTAGAATGTTGTATGGTATTATTTGGGGTGGGTGAAGGGATAATCGGCGATCAAAGAATGAAAAACAGATCTCGATTTTCTTCATATGGAGTTGTATATATGAATATTTAGCGTAATTGGATGCATACATAATTTGAGTTGATGAAAGGACTATGAAGTCTGTGTTTGTTTTCAGAATCTGATTCTAATTTTTGTAATAAAGTAAAGCTAAAATCTAGTAGTAGTGGGACCCCAGCAATTGAATTCCATGACTTTCCTCATGGACTCTTCTTTGGTTCTCTTGCCCTTGTTGGAAACTGAAGCAGAGGACCATTTGGAAGCTTTAGCATAAGATCCGATGATGTTGTTCTTGGCATGTTGTTGAAGTGACCTCAAAGCATAGTTCCACCTCATCGCTTCCACTGCCCCAATGCTCCATGCCACTACCCATGATTTCTTTGGTGCACTCATCATGTGTGGGAGACAATAACCTTTCCTTTAGCCTTTGCTTTGCTCTTAACTCGTGTTACAAGTTACAACATCCTTAAATATGTCGTTCCTTGGGGTGGGAGAAACCACGGCTAGTTTTGTTTTAGGTGAAGTGAAACTGAAAACAAAAACAAAACTAGGTGCGGCCCACACCTTGTATCATGTCTTTCGAACTTGGTAATTGAGTGAGTCCTGGATTTTCCCAATACCACAATTTGTACTATGCTGTTGTTGGTCGAGAAAATTCACCAAGCACTAATCTTTTATTTTAACATTATTTATTAATGGGTACGTTCAATTGGTTCAATTGGGTGTTCTCCTTATCGACTTATACTTGTGATCTTTATATTTGGAAGTGGGTAGTGTAATTCTTACCCTCTATTTTGGAAGCTTATTTGAAGTGATTTATTTATTTTTGCTTTAAATTTCAAAACTTGAGTTTGAAGTTTTCTAAAAAGGATCAAGAATATAATATAAATGTTCTTATGGTCTTGACTCTTGAATGCAACTAACATCAGGCTGATCGAACATTTTGGAAAGATTTAGAAACTATTTACCATTTCATTGGAAACAAATTACCAACCTTGATTACCCCATTTTGATAATTTATTTCGAAAAGCTCCAAAATAATAAATAATTTAGAGTATAATAAAATGAATCAGGCGCCAACGTGAAGATCAAAATCCGCATAGCAACGCTTGGGTTGTTTGTGTCGACTGCCCAAAACCTTTGGCAAAGTCAAGAGCAGAAGAAAAAGGAAAACGGCGGGAAGAAACAAAAAGACGACTCAATAGTTGTGCAATTAAAATTTCATTAATATATTAATGCCTTGAACTTTAATTCATATTAAATCATCTTTCAACAAATTAAAACATGGTTTAAGTAATTTTGAGGTAGTTGTATCTAATAAAAAATTGTCACATGTAAGAAATGATATATAAATTAGATATACTAAAACAGAATTTATAACATCCCTTGACCCCATGTGCGTGCAATTTTTTACCTAGTTTTATTTTCTTTTTATTTTATAGTGTGAGTGTTTATGAGTGGGAGTTGTGAATTTTTTACAGGAATATATTTTTTTTTAAAAAAATTACTCAAAGAAAATCTATTACACATTATTTACAAGAGTAGCACGGTTCATTGTTTAGGGTTTAGGGTTTAGGGTTCGGGAACCAAATTTTGAGCAGCGTTTTATTTTTTTTTAATTTTCTTTTGTGTTTTGAATTTAGGTCATGTGTTAATTTTATATCTGGAACGGCCCGTTCTGATTTCACTCGTCATGTGTTAATTTTGCATCTGAAACGGAACGATCCGTTCCAGATGCAAAATTAACACATGACGAGTGGAAGAAGAACGGGCCGTTCTGGTTTCAGAACGAGCTGTTCCAGATGCAAAATTAACACATACCTAAACTCAAAACGTGTATATATATATATATATTAAACACGGCTCAGAATTCAGTTTTCCGGGAATCGAATTCCGGCGATGAAGAAGCTCAGAATTCAATTTATGGAAAACTGAATTCTGAGCTTGAACAGTAAACCATGCTATTTTTGTAAATAATGTGTAATAGGTTCTCTTTGGGTAATTTTTTTAAAAAAAAATTATATTCCTTTAAAAAGTTATGGGAGTTGTAGCATTAGCATGCATGCATTGGAGGAAGGAAGATTGATGATGGGTTGATCCCACGGATTTGGATCATGACTGCCGCCAAACGAAACAAGGCTAGCTATCTGTTTCCATAAACCACTTTTCCAAATACCCCTTATCGTCCACCCTATTTCTACTTTTCTCACCTTTTATTTTAACTGTATCAAAAATATTATATTTCTTACATCATTTTCTAAAAAAAAAAAAAAAACTGGATCTTATATAAAAAATTATTTAATTTTTAATTTCATCTTAATATAGTTTTTCTCTCTTTTCCCGTTTGAAATGGGAAAAAAAATATATTTAAACGAGACTCGAACATTTTTTTCTTTCCTTCATGCATTAGACCCTTTTAAACAATGAAAGGATTGTGAAGTTTCATTTTATTGGTTCCATTGGAGGTGGGGGCTGTACATAAAATAAATGAGGATAGGATTAAGTGTGACATACGCATTAACATAATTAATGTATTTTTGACTATTGAATGAAAATCCAATGCCTCAAATTTTGAGTCTTTTTTCATGAAATCAAAGTTCCAAATTAAAAGTATTAATTATTTTTATAAGAATTAATTTACAATTTTTCTTACATTAGTTTTTTTTTATACCGGAAATACTCTTAATTAATTTTTTTTTGTTCATTCCTAGAGTATCCACCGCCGATAGCAGTGACTAATCTCCAATACAAGGCAAGATTCGAACCCTGATCTTGCTTAAGCGTGGATCAACTCCTATCGCTGAACCATATGCTTGGGATTAATTAAATATATATTCTCTTAATTAAATAAGTAGATAGTAGCTAGAGTGGGATTTTATTATTGTTAGAAATAGTTTTGCAATAAATGAATAAATTTAAGACAAATTTAATACTATTAATTAAACTAATCGACTTTCTTAATTATAAAAAATAACATAATAAGTCTGATAAAAAAAATATTCTGCCAAAAAAAATCTGATAAAAATAACCAGACGAAGTACATGTTTTATAAATAAATAGAAAACTCAATTCCAACATTTATTAGAGATAAGGTTAAAAAGGATATATGAATAGAGATAACTCTTTTTTATAAAATTTTATAAAATTGAGATAAACACAAACTCATATTCTAATATATTTTAAGACTGATTTAGTGATAAGAAAAAATACAACTAGTATATGCTTTATTAATAATTTCGCACTATTACAAATTACATGAATGGGTGAAAATTTGAATATAGAAAATTCAAATCCAAAAAATCATCGGAAGGCTCGTTATTAGTAGAATCACCTTCCACTGCTATTTTTTTTTTTAATTGCAATCTTTGGTATGTACGAAGTTCTAACTCGTTTAGCAATACTCATGGGAGTTAATCATATTCTTAACTGCTGCACCAAAATTATTCATATCTTTCTTCTTCTTCTTTTTTGGCAGTGTTCGATGAAAACATATCAAGCACCCTATTAAAAATTTAATTTCAAAGTGAGTTAAATGCGCTAAAGAATTAAAATTTCTAAAGTGATTTACAAAAATTAAAAGCAGTGCAACTTGTAAGAACTTAAGGTGTTAAAAACAATTTCTCATTTTCCGATGCAAAAGCTGTAGACAGGCCTGGAATATGGTAAAGGTAAAGGTTCATATATATATATATATATATATATACACTTTTTTTTTTATAAGTACACTTCCTTTTAAAAAAAAT